AAAGGGTGTTGGATTTTGTCAAATGTGTTTTCTGCATCGATTGATAAGATTATGTGATTTTTGTCTCTCGGTTTGTTTATGTGATGTATCACATTTCTTGATTTTCGGATATTGTACCATCCTTGCATCCCCGGAATAAATCCAACTTCGTCATGGTGTATGATCTTTATAATGTAATGCTCATTTCGATTTGCTAGAATTTTGTTGAGGATTTTAGCATCTATGTTCATCAAGGATATTGGCCTGTAGTTCTCTTTTTTTGTGGTGTCTTTATCAGGTTTTGGAATTAGGGTAATGCTGGCTTCATAGGAAGAGCTTGGAAGTGTGCCTTCCTCTTGAATTTTTTGAAACAGTCTGTGGAAGATAGGTTTAAGTTCTTTGAATGCTTGGTAGAAGTCCCTTGTAAAGCCATCTTGACCAGGGCTTTTGTTTGCTGGAAGATTTTTGCTCACTGCTTCAATTTCTTCGGTAGTCATCGGCCTATTCAGTTTTTTTTTATTCTTCTTGATTGAGTTTTGGGAGCTTGTATTTTTCGAAGAATATGTCTATTTCATCTAGGTAGTCCACTTTATTGGAATAGAGTTGTTCATAGTACTTTTTCATAATCCTTTGTATTTCTGTGGGATTGGTTGTTACATCGCCTCTTTCATTTCTAATTTTATTTGGGCCCTTTCTCTTTGCTTCTTGGTGAGCCTGGCTAGAGGTTCATCAATCTTGTTTCTCCTTTTCAAAGAACCAGCTTTTGGTTTTGCTGACCTTTATTATTGTTTTTTTGGTCTTTATGTCATTTATCTCTATGCTGATCTTTATTATTTCCTTCCTTCTGCTTACACTGGGATTTTCTTGTTGCTCTCTTTCAAATTCTTTGAGTTGTAGGGTTAGACAATTTATTACCATTTTTTCTTGTTTTTTTTGAGATAGGCCTGCAAAGCTATGAACTTCCCTCTCAAGACTGCTTTCGCTGTGTCCTATAGATTTTGGAGGTTGTGTTTTCATTGTCATTTGTTGCCATGATGCTTTTTATTTCTTCTTTGATTTCTTTGGTAACCCAATCATTATTTAAAAGTATGCTATTTAGCCTCCAGGTGTTTTATTTTTTTATTGTTTTTATTGTAATTGATTTCCAGTTTTTGCCATTGTGATCTGAGAAGATGTTTAATATGATTTCTATCTTCTTGAATTTGAAAAAAACTTTACCTGTCCCCCAATACATGGTCTATCTTTGAAAATGACCCATGTGCACTTGAGAAGAATGTATATTCTGTGGCTTTGGGGTGGAATGTTCTGAAGATGTCAATTCCATCTGATCTAGTGAGTCATTTAGGATTGCTGTTTCTTTGCTGACTTTTTGTTTAGGGGATTTGTCCAGTGGTGTTAGTGGGGTACTAAAGTCCCCTACTATGACTGTATTGCTGTTAATCTCTCCCTTGATAGCCTCCAGAATTTTTGTTACGTACTTGGGTGCTCCTGTATTGGGAGCCTATTTGTTTACCAGAGTTATATCTTCTTGTTGAATTGCTCCCTTTAGTATTATGAGGTGGCCTTCCTTATCTCTTGTTATGGCCTTCACTTTGAGATCTAATTTGTCAGATATAAGTATTGCTACCCCAGATTTTTTTTCATTTCCATTCGCCTGAAAAACCTTTTTCCAACCTTTAACCATCAGTCTGTGTGAGTTCTTTGTTCTAAGATGAGTTTCCTGTAGACAGGAGATATATGGGTCATGTTTTCTTATCCACTTAGCTCCCCTATGTCTTTTTTGGGGCATTTGATCCATTTACATTTAAAGTGATTATTGATAGGTATCTGTTTGTCACCATTTTTATTCTTTATGCCTGTGTTCCTTCTTCCCTTCCTATTTCTTTTTATAGCAGACCCTTTCGCATTTCTTGCATTGTTGGTTTGGGGGTAATAAACTCCCTTAGTCCTTTTTTGTCTGGGAAGATCTTGATTTCACCCTCAATTTTAATTGATAGCCTTGCTGGTTACAGTATTCTTGGATTCAGACCCTTTCTTTGCATGACTTTGTATATTTCATTCCATTCCCTTCTGGCCTGATGAGTTTCTGTTGAGAAATCAGTCAATAGTCTGATGGCGGATCCTTTGTAGGTAACTTTCTGTCTCTCTCTGGCAGCCTTTAAGATTCTTACTTTGTAGTTGGTGTTTGCCAATTTAATTATAAAGTGTCTTGTTATCAATATTTTGGGGTTCATCTTGTTTGGGACTCTGTGAGCTTTTTGGACCGTTTGAGCTTTTTCTTCCCGATATCAGGGAAGTTTTCTGTCATTATTTCTTCAAACAGATTTTCTATTCCTTGTTCAGTTTCCTCTTCTTCTGGCACCCCTATTATGCGGATGTTGTTTCATTTCGTGTTGTCCCAAAGTTCCCTTAGGCTCTCGTCTTGTTTTTTAAGTTTCTTTTCTAGATGCCTCTCTGCTTGTGTATTTTTCCTACCTTGTCTTCTAACTCACTGATGTGGACCTCTGCTTCTTCTAGTCTACTGTTGATGCTTTCTATTGAGTTCTTTATTGCAGTGATGTCATTGTTTCATTTCTTCTTGCTTCTTCTTCATTTCTTCTTGGTTTCTACACATATTATTGAATGTGTCTTCCATCCTTTTCAGTGACCTCATGACCACTTCTCTGAATTCTTTCTCTGTCATATTGCTTGCCTCCATTTCCTTTCCTTCCTTTTCTGGTGATTCCTCCTTTCTTTTGTATGTGGGCTGTTTCTTTGTCCCCCCTGATCTCTCCGCTCAGGGTTTCTGGTTATGTAGCTCTCTGTCTCCTGTGCTGAATTTCTTTAGGCAATGCCAGCTGTATTTCTTTGCCAGTTCTTGGTGAGTGCTCTTTGATTCAGCTGTTCCTTCTGCTCTGTGAGAAGGCACAGTGCTTGTCCGTGAGTTCGCGCATTTGTCTCCCCCTGAGAATACCTGCCAGGTGCCCATGGTCAGGGAGGTTGGAGTTCTTCCATTCCTAGATTTGCAGCTGAGATAACTGGTCTCTGGACGTCTTGGTTTTAAGGTCCCGGGAGGCATCCGAGATCTCCCCAGTTGAAGGTAAGTCTGGGGATCTGATCACAGTCAGTCTCTGATCACAGCCATCTCCCCTTAAAGATGACGTGACCTCTGCGGCAGAGACAGCTACTCCAGAAGTGATTTCAGCTGCAGTAGAGTCTGCCCAATCATGGGTGGCCAGTCCGCCAGTCCCCAACTGTCCCTTGGAGTATAGCTGTCCCTCGCTCACAAATGCTGACACTCCCTACACATCCATGCACTCTCCTTTTGTTCTCTCACTCTCACACTATGTCTCAGCCTGCAGTCCTGTCTGCAGACATCTTACTTCTCCTATTTTTTGTTGTTTTTTTTCAATCCTCACCTGAGGTTATTTTTTTCAGAGAGAGTGGAAGGGAGGTGCAGAGTCAGAGAGAAAAATATCTATGTGAGAGACACATTGATTGGGTGCCACGCACAAACCTCGACCGGGCCAGGCATTGAGCCTGCAACCCAGGTATTTGCCCTTGACCAGAATCAAACCCTGGACTCTCTGATATGAGAGATGATGCTCTAACCACTGAGAAAAACCAGCCTGGGCAGTCAAGCAGCTTTTCTCTGAAAGTTTTGCTAAGTCAATTAGGCTGATTATCAGTTAATTAAGTCAACTGAGACAATAACACAAGGGGAGGTGTGAGTGTAAAACAAATTCTGTATCCTGTATGAAAACCAGAGGCAACAGAGACCTCTAGATAAATATTAATAAGTTTATTATCATTTCCCTGCATGTGAGGGTTTTACCTAATTCACCTCCTGTAAAGACTTGGAATGCAAGCATTAGTCCCCAAACACTAGTATGGGTGCATGTACACATTGTGTTTTTTGAGTTTTGAGGGACACACCAGGTCCTGAAGTGTGAATGTCACCCAGAAAGGCATGTGTAGAGGTCACACTCAAGAGGCGGCTTGTCATGGGCCCTGGTGCTGCCACGGCTGCCCCTGAGAGGGCATGAGTCTCAGGCCTGGGTTGGTCTTAAGGAAGTCCTGGTGTCCTTCATAAATTTTAAATTCTCAGGGTGCACGTTTGGCAGGTTTATAGGTAAGTCATGTAGAACATGATATTTAACAGTAAATTGAAAACTTAGTCATGTTTAAGGCAAGTAAGATGCACTTTCCCCCTTTCCCAAACCTTATCATCTCTGAAATAGGATGCAGCTTTGAGCCTGTATCACAGTCACTGTGGGCCAGGTGGCAACTGTGACAAAATCGTCACTGCCACAACCCATTTATCTTCTTCTTATGTGAGCACCCTTGTCTGACAGCCTCTTAGATTCGATGAAATACGTACAGCACATGCAACTAGAAATTCACTTCAAAAGCTCTGGCAATTCCACATGACAACCCTGAATGATGAGGTGCAGTGCTCCCCATGGTGGCAGGGCTCAAGGCCAGATCAGGTCAGAGAAGAAAACCAGACCCGCTTGTCAAAGTGACAGGAAAATCAGAGCCACAGGAGGCCTCGCTGAAGACCTGGCAGCTGTCCCTCACGTGTTAGATGCACCGCGGATCTCCCTACAGAAGAGGCCTATTGTAGGCCTGGAGGGAACATCCGCTGTGGAGCTTGTCTCTGCGGTAACTGTGTGGAGATCAGCTCTGGATATTCGAGTCCCTACCACAGTGTCCATGATTTGTGAGGCTCCTCATGCTAAAGGACCTGAATTGTTCTGGGAGAAAGTGCAGCCACACTGATGGGGGTTTATATTTCCTACTTGGGTGTTCACATACCAAAGGAGACAGATGTGGTGTATGGAGTATGCCCCCTTCAGGCTCCTACACACACATGTGCGTGCGCACGCACACGCACACGCACACACACACACACACACACACACACACACACACACACGTGTACACACCTAGCATGCAGTCTCCTTGGTTCTCCCATCCCTGAGGGACACCTGAGATGCTCCCCTTCACTTCCCGCCTGCAGCCAGGTAAGCCCTTCCTACCTTTTCCCCGGAGCCCCCTGCAGGTGTCTTGCTCTTCTGTCCCCTTTGAGCAGCATGGGGTGGCCTGGAGGGGCTCCAGCTGTGATTGAAGAGGCTGAGAAGTACTGGGTGAGGCCTGGTCTGAGGACCCCAGAGGCCAGGGAGGCCTCTCTGGGGTTGACTTTGGTCGTTCTCTGGAACCCCCTTTCTTTAGTTTGATGAGTTTGACTAAGGCTTTGGCTCCAATCCAGTGCTTTTTCCTGTAAGAAGTAGGTTTTTAGGAAACAGCCAACACTCACTCCCCCTCCAGCAGGTGTCTGGGTGCCCTACTCGAGCTGGGATTTCAATCACCAGCCTGAGAAGGTGGCGCTTAATCTGGTTCAGAATGAGGGTGCTCTTTGCCATCACCATGATTATCCCACCTGGGGCTCAGGAGTTGGGACACAATGTGCAATTAATTTGCACAGACCCAGGGGTGGTAGAAGCCTTCATAATGGCAGGAACCCACACTAGCCCCTCGGGAAAACAGAACTTCAAACGCAGCTCTCGGCTCTTGATTACTGTGCCAAGTGCTGGAAGTGGTGCTGTGCTGACCTAATCATGCTGGTTGGCAAAATTCCACCAAAACGCCATTTTCAGAAAGTCAGGGACCTCCTCATTTTCTGCTAGGTGTAACAATACATGAAATTGGCTGGCATACTCTGCCCATTCTCGTCATTGAGGAATCGGGGTGAGGGGAAGAGGGCAGGAGAGTGGGCAGTTTGAATGAAAAACAGTGAGCCCTGGGTGGTCTTGCCTGGTGGTTGAAGCTTTGGCCTGAGCACTGATGGGTGGTGGGTTTGATCTCCCAATAAGGGCACATACCTGGGTTGCAGGTTTGATCCCTGGCCCCGGTCAAGGTGGATGTCTCTCTCTCTCTCTCTCTCTCTCTCTCTCTCTCTCTCTCTCTCTCTCTCTCTCTCCTTCCCTCCCTCTCTCCCTCCCTCCCTCCCTCTGCCCCTCTCTCATTTCCCCTTTCCCTTCCTCCCTCCCTACTACTCTCTCTAAGTGTCAATGGGAAAAATATCCTCAGGTGAGGATTGGAAAAATAAGTAAATAAATGAAAATAGTGAATGTAAAAGGTAATTCATTGCAACTAACAGGAAATGAAGCATTCTAATGTAACAAGGACCACAGCTGGGTTCTGGTCCTGGCTCTGCCACGAAACAGCACTGTGCTTACACAAGCCACTCAATTTCCTCATCGGTGCCTCAATTTCCCTGTCAACAGAAGGGTCAGGTGGAGGTTCTGAAATTCTGTGGTTTCTACAGAGAGGCCATGTGATTTGACCTCAAGGTTGGGACAGGACATTGGGAAGGCCCTGCTCCTGGGCTCAGGCCCGGGCCCAGGGGGAGCCCTGCTGGATGGAGGCCAGCAGTCTCGGGGACCGAGCTGACCCACCACCAGGGCTGCTGCTCTCTGGGGAAGGGAATGTGTTTCTGAACCTGCTCTGGGGGGTCCAGTGAACCCAGAGGAATGGAGGGCAGAACAAAAGTTTCCTGTGCTTGAAGACAGGGGTGCTTGTCCAGGCGTCTGCCCCAAGCTTCCTTCCCAAAACAGAAACATGATTCTAGGTCCCGCAAACTTGAGACAAAGCCTGATATGCCTGCTTTAGTGGCTCTAAAAGCACAGACTCTGCCCTTAAACAGGCTCCTGGCCAGCTGGCATTCACCATCCCTTATAGGATAACCCTGAGTACCGAGGGTGGGACTGAAAGAAACTCTAAATTCTTTCCATGCTGGGAGGGACCTGCACACAGAGCAGCTGCCATACAGCAGAAGGTACAGGCCCAACAAACTGGCCACTGCTCTAGATGCTACTGCTTCCCCTACTCGTGAAAAAGCAAGCTTTCTGTCCTGTGTGTAAGCTACTGACGCTTAAATCAACTCACTTCTTTGGCGCTGGATCATGGAACTTGTGCTGAGCCATGCTTTTTTCTTCCAGTTTTTCATTTTGTCTCTGTAAGGGGTTTAATTTGTCTCTATAGAGGAGAGAGAAAAACAGTCTGTTTTTAAAATAAAACACATAAATTGACTCATGACCCCGCCTGGGACCTGGCCCAGAAGGAGCCAGTGTGTTTCTGGGACTCAGACATCAAGGTGCTCATGACCGCCATGACCCCTGAGTTGGGAATATGGGGTTGGAAGCATGTGACATGGGTCCAGGAGCCTAACACATCGAGGAGACGGCTGAACACCTAGGGTCAGGCTGTACGTCACCTCAGGAGAGAGACCCCGAACCATCTGACACTCAAGCTGGGAACCCCGAGGGTTCTGGCCAGGTCAGCTCAGGACGTTGGGCACTCGGGTCAGACCCAGGGCTAGGCTAGCTCCTGCAGGTGCAGACCAACGATAGCTTTAGTGGTGGGGAGGGGTCTGCCCTTGGTGACTTAGGTGGGCATCAGGTTAAAAAGGTCAGTTTAGCAAAGTCAGAGCTCCGACCTGGACCCACTCCAATGTTGGGCTTCTGCTAACACTTCTAGTGAAGCAAACTTAAAGCCTTTTGGGAGCCAGACAGAGAAGATAAGGAGCAAACAGCCTGGGAGGACTTGAGAGAGGAGTGGAGGCTGCGGCGAGGCTGAGCGCTTGGTACCACGTGGGACCTAATGCGTGGCCTGCAAACGAAGTGCCGCTCTCCATGTGGCGGAGCTTCTGACTGTTTTTCGCGAAGGATCCAGACTCCCCGGCTCTGAAGCAAATTCTCTTAATTCCTAAATGTGGGAAGTCAGTTCACATTTTTAAAAACACAGAAAGGACCAGAGAGGCACCTCTTAAACCTTGGGCTGCCAGAGGGCACCCCTGCTCCTGGGAGAGGGAGCCTGGCCTTCCTGAAACTGATGGCATGGCATGCTTTCCTGTTGTCTGTCTAGGACAGTGACGGCGAACCTATGACACGCATGTCAGAGGTGACACGCAAACTCATTTTTTTGGTTGATTTTTCTTTGTTAAATGGCATTTAAATATGTGAAATAAATATCAAAAATATAAGTCTTTGTTTTACTATGTTTGCAAATATCAAAAAATTTCTATATGTGACACAGCACCAGAGTTAAGTTAGGGTTTTTCAAAATGCTGAAATGCCGAGCTCTAAAGGTTCACCATCACTGGTCCAGGAGCCATGCACACAGCGCTCGCTATAAAGCACCCCCCACTGGGTTGCCAGCGCCTGTCCAGTTCCTGCCTCTCCTCACCCATGTGGCCTTGATAGCTCAGACCCCTGCTTTCCCTGCTGGAAAATGAGTCCTCGGCATCCAGAGAGCTGCTCAGGCTCCTTCATTCAAGAAGGTGCCCAGCTCCCCATGCCCCAATACAAGGGCTTTTCTGTGAGTTCACGGCAAAGTGAGCGTCCGTGAGAAGTGATTGCTTGCAAACCACTGGGTCCCTGGCCATGGAACTGCTCTGCTCCCAGCACCCTCGGCTCGGCCTCTGTTCTTCTAATCTGTGTTATTCTGTTCCCACAGCCGTCCCCCAGCCCCGCAAAATCATGGCCCAGCTATCCCAGGGCTGGGGATGACTCTGCTTGGAGCAGGCCCAGGAAGCCTGCCCACTCCCTGGCCTCCTGCAGACACTTTCTAATGCAAAATGGTCATCAGATCATCCCCAGGGTACCAGGTCCCCACTCTTGTAGTTTGCAACTGCCCAACCTCTGCTGGTAATTTTTAGCAGCTGCGTTATAGAGAGCCCACTTCAGGCTACAAACTCTCACTTCCACCCCAAAAGTACAGTGCAGTTTCCCATGTCAACCATCCTTGGTAGGTGTTGAGCTGCCTGTAGATGAGCATACGAATCCGGGAGAACAGTAAGCAGCATCATCACCCCAGGGAGCTGGGACAGTGCCCCGTGGTCACTGTGGCCATGACCCTCTGTCCCACACAGGCCAGCCATTCCTGATCACAAGGAAGGACAGTCCCAGCAGCACAGAACCGAGGGGTGCAGACCACCCTGGACCCACAAGATGCATCTCAGATGACTTGACTTCCAAACCACAAGGTTTCCAGCACCAAAGCTCTTCCTCCTGCCCTCATTTCTGGCAGCTTCCTAGGCCCTGTACACCAGCATCCCTTAATCACCCACTTCCCAGTGAATCTGACTCATTAGCCGGGCATGGCAGCCTTCCATGGCTGAGCGCTGCCTCCTCCAGCTCCCTTCCTGCCACTCCCTGCACCTTCCCTGCACCCACACTATGCCAAGCCCCACCTTCATGTTCAGCCCCTATCCCCCCCCACACACACACACTAGCTAGCCTTCTCCCCACCCGTGTCAGCAGCAGAACTCCAACTCCCATCACCACGCTTCCTTCTACCTCCATGGAGCTCCTCACATCTGTGTGCACACAGCTCTGCTCACATCCCATCACCCCTACTGGTTCCTGGAGACCAGGTAACTGGTTCTGTGCACTTTGCAGAGCCAGGCCTGTCGGCAAAGGCAATGTGGGCAGAGGGAGGACAGCCACTGTGCACCAACAACCCACTCTGCAACCCATTAAGGGAAAAACCGACACAGAGAGGGCTCAGCTTGTGATCTGAAGTCCTTCCCTAGGAACTTCTCTTTATCACTATTGTACTTTTCAAAGTGAACTGGATTCCAAAAGCAGATTAAGAAGCGTCTGGCAGGGGGAAGTGTCTCTGAAAAGCCAACAAAGCCAACCACCCTTATTTGCAGAAATCTGGAACCATTCCCGGGATAACGAGAGAAGTATGTGCTGGTAAGATGGTCTGTCCTTTTGCCTGGGACACCAATGCGCCCAGGGGGTTTTCTGCTGCCCAGAATGGCGGGGTCTAGTCTGGAGCTGGAAGCCTCGACCCCTCTGTTGATGGGCATCCGTCAGCCCACACCGCTCACACGTACTGCCGCTGCTCTTCCTGGTGCTGGTAGTTGTTCTCCACGTCCTCCTGGTGAAGCCTCTGGTTCTTCTCTGTCAAGCTTTGGATTTGGCTCTGCAGGTGACGGTTTCCTCCCTCCAAGTTGCCCTTGAGGTGGGAGAGCAGCTAAAACACAGATGGACAATGTCTCAAACACCACACGCTCCCGTGATTCCACTGCTGGGAATTTACTTCCAAAAGGAGAAAAAGGTCACATGCACAAAGATGTTCATTTTGGTATTATCTACGTCAGCTGGCATGACCAATACGGCCAGTGCTATGGGGATGGCCAAGCCTTCTGCCACTGCACCATTCAATCAGGCAGCCACTGGCCACATGTGGCTGCTGAGCACTGAAAATACAGCCAGTCTGAGCTGAGGTATAAGTGCAAAATATATAATAGGTTCTGAGGACTTAATAACAATTAAAAATAATGTAAAGTATCTCATTAATAAGCTGCCCAGTGTGTGTGGCTCAGTAGGTTGAGTGTCCCATTCACCACGAAATCACCGGTGTAATTCCTGATCTGTGGCGAGCCGGCACGGCCATGGCATACTCAGCCCCCGGGTGCCTTATGTGCCATGCCAGCTCAGCCTGGTTCAGTGACCCTGAGAGGGGGCGGTGAAAGATTAAGAAAAGACAGCAAGAGAATGAAAGCTGGGTCTCAGTGGGATGCCGCTTCTCTGACAAAGAGACAGCGCCAGTGCCCACAAGCCGTGTCTTTATTTTATAGCAGATGCCACGAGGCAAAGTAAGGGGGTAATCACGATGTTTACAACATTCTTGTGGGTTTCAGTCCTACTCAACTACATGCACCTGAACTCTATCACTCAGGCATGTGTGGCCACGTGTTTGGACCATAGGTTCAAGCTTCCCGCTATAGCTGTTGGCTATAATTGTGCTGGGAAGGCTCTGCCCTCCAAGCTGGGCCTTGCATGTGGCAATGAGAGGACTGTGCCCTTTTATCAGTCCAAGGCTTGAACATGTCCAAACACTGTAGCCGCACCCCACACTGATCAAGGCACATGCCTGGGTTGCTGGCTCCATTCCCCAGTACAGGGCATGCAGGAGGCAGCTGATGGATGTTTCTCTCAAAAAATCAATAAAAAATCATATTATTTTTAAAAATCTTATTAATAAGCTTTTGGGGTTACATGTGATATTTTAGATATAAGGGTTAAATAAAACAGACCCCTACATTAATCCCACCTGATTCCTTTTACTTTTTGAATATGGCTACTAGAAAGTTGAGTGATACATGTGGTGGCCTGCATTATATTCCTATTGCACATCTCTGCTGTAGGCAGGATTGGCGTGCTCTTCCTGTAAAGAGCGAGGTACTAAATATGTTAGGCTTTCCAGGCCGACACTGGTTTCTGTTGCAACTGTTCAACACTTATTACAGCAGGAAAGGAGCCAGGGAAACAATGCACATGCATGGGTGTGGCTGTTTAAAAAAAACAAACCAAAAATCTTTACTCGTGACACCAACATTTACATTTCATGTCACTTTCACTTGCCCCCAAATATTATCCTACTTTTGATTTTCCCCAACCATTCAAAACTGTGAAAGCTATTCTTGGTTCACAGCCGTACACAAACAGGTGTGAAGCTGGACCTGAATTTTGGGCTGAGGCTGGCCAGCTCCTGCTCTAGAATATCATCGCGTTTGGTGTAGCAGGAAGTCCCAAGCTTTGGCTTCAGACAAACGGGGTTCCAACCCGCTACTTCAGAGGGACAAGGATGGGAACCCCAGCTCACAAGATCATTGCGAGAATTAAATGAGATGACACAGAGAGCAGAGTGCTCAGCCAAGAGGATGGAGATAAAACGGTATTTGGAAGCTTCCATGCACTGCCCCGACCCTGCAAAAAGCAAAGATCAGGTGAAAGGTGTTCTGTAGCACACCCCTGCCAGTCCTCGTGTTCGTCCCAGTCAATTGCCTCTGGCTTCCTCTCTGCCTCTGTGTGACATTCTCACACACCCTTTGAGCAGAGATGCCAGTGAGGACCCATTCCCACCTGGTTAAGCTCAAGGTGTCAGCCCAGAGAGCAGGCCCACCCAGGGTCCTGGAGCCCTCCAGCCCAGGCCTCACCTGGCAGTGGTTGTCCAGCTCGGTCAGCGAGATGTCCCTGCTCTGGAGCTCCTCCCTCAGCCCGTTGCACTGGTTCCGCCAGCAGTTCATCTCCAGCTGGGTGTCGTTGAGGGAGGTTTGCAGCTTCTTGTTGTGCATCTGCAGCTCCTCCTGCTCCCCCTTCAGCTCCTCATACTGGCCCTGCCAGCGGTTCACCTCCTGCTGGGTGTCCTTCAGGGTGGTTTGCAGCTCCTGGTTTTCTGTGAGCAGCTCCTTGGTGTGGGTCTGCAGCTCTTTGGTGTGGGCGTACAGCGCCTCTTGCTCAGCCTTCAGCCCCTCGTACTGGCCCTGCCAGTGGTTCACTTCACGCTGCGTGTCCTTCAGGGACATTTGTAGCTCCTTGTAGTCTGTGAGCAGCTCCTTGCAGTCTGTGCACAGCTCCTTGTTGTCTGTGAGCAGCTCCTTTTTGTCTGTGAGCAGCTCCTTGACAAGGGTCTGCAGCTCCTTGGTGACTGTGCACATCTTCTCTTGCTCCCCTTTCAGCTCCTCGTACCGGGCCTGCCAGTGGTTCACTTCACACTGCGTGTCCTTCAGGGACATTTGTAGCTCCTTGTTGTCTGTGAGCAGTTCCTCGTTGTAGGTGAGTAGCTCCTTGTTGTCTGTGCGCAGCTCCTTGTTGTCTGTGAGCAGCTCCTCGTTGTCTGTGCGCAGCTCCTCCTTGTCTGTGCGCAGCGCTTTGTTGTCTGTGAGCAGCTCCTTGTTGTCTGTGAGCAGCTCATTGACCTGGGTCTGCAGTTTCTTGGTGACTGTGTACATCTCCTCTTGCTCCCCTTTCAGCTTCTCGTACCGGGCCTTCCAGTGGTTCACCTGCAGCTGCAAATCATTCAGGGAGCTCTGAAGCTTCTTGCTGTGGGTCTTCAGCTCCTCCTGCTGCCCCTTCAGCCCCTCATACTGGGCCTGCCAGCGATAAACCTCCAGCTGGGTGTCCTTCAGGGAGGTTTGAAGCTTTTTAGTGTGGGACATCAGCTCCTCCTGCTCCCCCTTCAGCTGCTGGTGCAGGAAATTGGCCCTGGGGTTGGAGAAACACAAGGCCAAGGGCTGAGGCGCACTCGCAGGCTCTGTCCCAGTTGTGCAACCTTAATCAAAACTGCAACCTCTCTGGGCCTCAATTTTTTCATGTGTTAATGAATGGTTGAACAAAATCAGCGGTATTCAAACTGTGTTCAAACTGTGTTCATTGGGGTTCTAGGAGGCTAACCCAGGTGCCCCACTGCGTACTGGGGGAGAAGGACACCACTACAACAGAGCATCCCTATAAAAGTCCTTTCTACATGAGGCTTTGGCACAACTGCCTACTAGGAAAAAAGGTTCTTTGATTCAAACATTTAAACACTGAATCAGAACATTTCTGCTCTAAGACTCTATGTCTATATCCAGCTCTTCTCCCCAATTCCAAGCCCCTTTCTAATTGCAACTACTGAGATACACAAAATAGAAGATTCTGGAGTGTTACCTAAATCCACTTAAATTATTGTCATCATCATCATCATCATCACCCAACTGGGATTCCTTGGGGAAGATTTATACCGAAAAAGCTCATAGGACCAGAGGCTCATGGACTCAATGTGAACACAGGTGTGTGAAGTTTGGCCCACACAGCTTTTTAAAAACTTTTTGACATTTACTTATTTTGTTCTATTCTTTTTCATTTTAAAGTGTGTATGGTTTTATTAATTAACGTCTCTCCAATAAAGTCAACTAAAAAAATAAAATAACATCAAGAAGAAACAGAACAAGATACAAAGATTCTCCATTGTAGTCCTATGAATACTCGCAGGTTAGATTTAAGGGTCCCCGGCCTCAAATATGTTTCCAGGTCCTCCCAGTCCTCTGTCCCGCCCAAAAAAGCAGATTAATAAAAAACACAAACAAAACAAAAAAATAATTAGTGCAAAATTTTAAGGTACCCATCAACATTCAGATATCTTCTTCTCAGGAAAGAAAAAAAGAAAAAAAAAAAAAGAAAGCATAAAGAAGGAAGACCTGGCAGTCCATCCTGCCTCCCAGCTGACAGCCTCTAGCTGGGTGTATTCTCCACCAGGGCCTGGTCTATCGCTGACTCTCCTCCCCCACCTGCTGGACCTGCCCGGCCACTGCAGGCAGCTGAGTTTACAGCCCCACAGCACATGTTAAATCAGGGCTGTGGGAAGGAAGGCTTCATGTGGTCACGCTCTGGGTTGAGGCAAGACTTGGATTCGAATCCTGCCTGTGTCACTAACTAGGAGCATTGACCTTGAACAAGTTGTTTAATCTCCCTGAGCCTGTTTCCTCCTCTGTTGCTGTGGATTTTTTAAAGGATAACAATAGCTCAGTCAATTCTCGTGATTCACAGCATAATGTTCTACCCAACCACGCGAACCCTGAATGAGTGAGTACTGAACCTGTTCCCACCGGTTCCTGGGAGTCTCTGGTCACATTTTGTCAGCTCATTAAGACGTAAAGACGCCTCGTGTAATACACTCAGAGCCAACAGCACCATACCTGGGCCCGAATGACCCTTGTGTGCCACTCGAATATTCCCCATGAGGCCCAAGTGCAGCATTGCACTTGGGAACACTAGACAGCACTTCAGCACTCCATTCTGGGGCCATTTCAAATGGCGAAATCACCACCGAAGCGCAGAAAACAGAACACCATGGCACTCAGTGGCCCATGAAGAGGACGCTGGTTGGTGAGAACTGAAACACAGCTGGGGTCAAAGGCCTTGTTCAACCTCCGCTGCAAATGTGCACATCAGGCGACTCCAGTATCTCCCACTCTGGGCACGTCCATGACAGGCCACGGGCACTGATTTGGGGGTCACCGGCACATTTCAGCCAGGAGGTGAATTCACAAATAGGAATGCATGGATGCTGAGGACCAAGCCTCTCTCCCTCACGGGATCACTGGTGTTAGAGGATGCAGGTGCCCCTGCCCAACAGTCATCAGCATCATAACTGTGGGAGGGAACGTTGTCCAAACCTAGACAATGCCCCAGCCCAGCTGCCGAGTTATTCGTTCCAGCCACCAGCTGGAGTCCCCTTTACCTCGTTACCCACCAGCTGCGTCCAGGGCAGGGTTGGTAAAAATGCACCATCACCAGGGGTCTCACTTGAGCTCAGCTCAGCGGGTGCAGAGTGAGTGGGTCAGACTGACATCCCAGCAGAGGCCCTGCAGGGGGCCTGGCGGTTACCTGTCCAGCTCTCGCTGCAGCCTCTGGTTCTCCTCTGCAGCCATGGCGCTCGTCCTCTGCTCCTGCTGCAGAGCCTCCTGCTCTGTGGTCAAGAGCATCCCCAGCTGATCCAGCGCCACCTTATGTTGGATCTGGTCCTTGTAGCTGTTGAAGGGAAACATACCCACTAGGAATGGGCACCCAGGGAGACCTCAAAGCCTTGGTGAGCAGCTTCTCTCTGCAAGCTGAGAGAGAATGAGATGGACAAGGGATGGGGCTGGACAGAGAGAGGGATAGACACTGGGCCAGCTCGGGGGTCTCCTGCAGCCCAGAAGCCAAGCCCTCTGCTCCCACTCGACATGTCTCCTTGGTCCCTTCCATCCCTGTCAAAGCAGCCTCCCTCCTACATCCCACTGGGAACAAAACCACTGTCCTCTGGACTCCACACCCTCCTCAAAGAAACCACTGCACATACAGCATAATTCCACAGCCAATAACAGCTGATGCCCCTCACCGAGCCCTGGGTGAGCCCTCCGCCCCAGCTCAGGAACAGCAGTCTCTCTGCTCTGAGCCAGGCAGCTTGGGGGCCAGAGGCTTGCCTGGTGAGGCCCAAGCAGCCATCATGGGCAGCTGCACACCCTGCTCCTCAAGGCACCCCCAGTCCAGCCCTTGCCCTCACCCTCCCTCAGCCTCCCCCTCAGCTCGGGCTTTTATTTCCTTCCTGTCTCAGTCTGCAGAGGGTCCCACACAGCCTCTCTGGAGGGCAGAAGAGCACAAGAGGGAGCCCCTGACCAGCTCTAGGCTGTTCCTCCTCCTGCAGGAACCTTCCCTGTTCAGGTGACTCAGGGGCCTTCCCAGGTCCAAGGTGGAGACTGAGTCATCACCTTTCAATCTTCCCCAGGCAGGCAAATGCCTTTCCAGACCTCCTTCCTGAGGTGTCCACACCCAGAGACAGACTGACAGAGACTAACCAGGTTCCATGGTTTCAGCCCCTGCCCTCAGCCCTCCATCCCGCCCCCCACCATCCCATATCAGCTGTATTTGTACCATCTGCCTGGAGCCAAGACTTGTGCAGGCTCAGATGCAGACTCAGATACCTTCTGGGCAGCTGTTGGAAGACAAACGTTCCTTCCTGTGGCCTTTAGCCACAAGTGGAGGCTGCCCAGACATGGGAAATGGAAGGTGGGGATGATGGCTCTGCTGGGCTTTCAGGGCGGCGATCTTTCTCATCCAGGTTTGACAAACAGGGCTATGGACCATTAGGGTCCCCACCTCCTGCTTCCCTGTTGTGTCTTGGAAAAGCACAGGATCAAGCATATTGCAACCATTAGTAACCACCCTCCTGCAGGGCAGAAACTGAGAGTCCTAATCCCCACTGAATCCCGGGTAGGAGGCTTGACACCCAGTGCATGTGCGCCAGGGGAACGAAGGAGTGAGTGTCCCAGTCACGTGTCAGGTGAAATGAATACAGAGCCCTCGGCCTGTGTTCCAGGCACCTCCACCTCCAACCTGCATCCTTGCTGCAGACACACCAAGGGCCTCCAGCTATCTGTCCAACCAGCAAAAACCATTGAGTCACACAGTAGGTCCATCAAGCAAGGAGTCATAGGCAGAACAATGAACTCCTCCCTCAGAGCAGTCAAATGCCACCTGCACAAACCTTCCCATGTGAACAGACATAAGAATATATCCACACGGTTATCATAGGGCATTGAGGGTAAGGCCCGCAGCGCCTGGTGCGGGGTGGGCACCACAGGAGGCTCCCATCAGTAGTCAGCTGGGTGCATTCCCACCATGTTAGACAGCACCAGGCGCCCAGTGGGTGCTCACTAAGCATGTCGTGAACACAGGATGGGTGCGGAGGAGGCAGAGAAGGAGATGCCAAGAGGCAGAAGATACTCATTCTGGCGGGAAGGAACGAGAGTCTGATAGGAGCAGACGTCCCGGCACCCCCAAAGGAAGGGAATCTGGGTGGAGAAAGGGGTGGAAGGCTCTGGAGAGAGTCCACAGGAAGCACTGGGTGAGTGTTTAAATGAACGTCATCACCCCCAAGTTCATGCAGCAGCAGGCGCCCTCCACAGGCTCTGCAGGCTCAGTGCCCTCCCTGGTCCCTGTGATGCCAAATCCCTGCACCTCACCTGCTCCTAGGGAAGCCCCAACCTTTGCCTGGCATTTGCTGAGGCAGAGGCAAGGGAAGACCTCAGCAGGGATAACTCACAAGCACAGAAGGTGGACAGCTCCCTCCTGCCCTGCTCCAAGTGTGGGAGAGCCTCTCTTTAGCACATCTCTCCCCTCCCCCCCCACACCTTGGAGTTCTCTGTACATCTCACTTTCCCCAGGCTCTGGGTCCCACTGCACCTGCTGGGGCCATTGCAATCAGGGATCTGCTTGGCTGGAGCTCAGCTGAAGTTGGCTGACTACATGCACACAAAGCCCTGATTTTGAAAACATGCAAAGTTAAGATTTATGCATTTAAGGTACATCAATTTTACCTTTAAAAAGGTATATGGAGAGTCAGAGGTAAAGGTGACATGAGAATGGCAGAGGATTGGTAATGCTGCTGCAGGTGATGGGAACACGGGGTTTTCACTATACTATTCTGTACACATCCATATATTCAATACTTTCCAAAATTAAAAGTAAAAAAAGAAAATCAGAAGCCCAGACTTGGAGACTTGGACAGGGAAAAGGCCTGGGGAGCTCGGTAAGGCACGCCCCTGAACATCGGCAGCTGTGGTGACTTCCCCTCCTGGTCCTTGGTTTGGAGAGAAAAGGAAGAGGGGGTAGGAATGCCCAGGGGAGCTGGGACGCCAATGCTGACACCTGGTTTCCCTGAGCCGGGATTAGTGGGCACACCCTTCTCCCCTGGGGGACCCTCCTGCCCCTCAGTCTCCAGCCGCACCAACTCCACATCGTTGAGGGTGATGGTGGATTTACTTCTCTTCACTGTGAAGCAGCGGGACCAGAGGAAACATGAGGGACCAGAGTGAAGGAGGGACAGGAGCCCGGGGAGCCCGTCAGTCACCCCCAGCCGCAGGCACCCACCTGTCACTGAGAGCCTTGCTCACCAGCTCCAGGGTCTGACGCAGCAGTGTCTTCTGGCGGCGGTACTTGTCCAGAAGGGCCTTGTGCTCCTTAGTCAGGTGCTCGTGGAGTGCGCCTAGGCTCGCGTGTTCCTGCTGCAGGGCCTGGTGGGCTGCCACCAGCTGCTGGTGCTGGAGCTGAGTGTCCTGCTCTGTGAGCGCAGTGTGCGAGGCGCTCTGGGAGCTCAGAGTGGAATTTTCCACCTGCTGGAGGGAGAAGGAAATGATGCCTCATCAGGTGCAGGCCCAGGGGGACCACAGACTCCGGATCCCCAGGTCCCCACACGCAGTGAGGGACCAACAGCGGGTCAAGTGCAGACACCAAAATAGCAGGACCCTCAGGAGAGGCAACACCCAGCCGAGCTGAGGACAGTTCTACCTGCACTCAAGGAACTGCTCTGGGAAGGCCCACGGCAGAAACGGACTACCCCATGGGCCTAAGCTTAGTCCTGGGCCCCTCCCTGCATATGTGACCTTTCTTGGCAATTTTTGCCCTTTCTCTGGATAACCTCCTTGGGTACTCTCTCTGAATACTTTGAAAAGTGCATGGAAATTCAGTAAGGACACAGAGAACCTGAACAGCACTACCAACCCATTTCACCGATATTTACACACCACAATCCAACAGCATTCAAAGCACCAGAGAGTTGACCGGGGAGGAACCGTCCTGACTCATTCTGAGGCCAGAATTACCCTGGTGTCCAGCTGCTTGTCCCGCTCCAGACCCTCAGGCTTCAGGGTGTCTAGAGACGTCTGCAGCCTCTGGTTCTCCAGCAACAGGTCCTGGCTTTCCCACTCGAGGGCGTGGACCCTCTCAGGGGCCGTCGTCAGGGCGCGGACCTCCATGGCCAGCTTCTCGATCTCCTCCTGCAGCCGATGCAGCTCCTGCTCAATCTCCTGTGCCCGCACCACGTGCTCCTTCACCCGCACCTTCATGTGCTCCAGCTCCTGTGCCTGCGCTGCCTGCGCCTTCACCTGCTCCAGGTCCCGGCACAGCTGCCGCCGCTCCCACTCCATCATGGTCACTTTCCTTTTGGTGTCTGTCACCGTCTGGAGGAGGACTTTTTGCTCAGTCTTCCTGCCCTTCATGCGGGCCTTGCTGCTGGTCTGTGAACTATCCCGCAGTGAATGCACCACTTTTTTCAGATCCTTGAACTGCAGGAAAACACAATGGAAACAACACAGGCATGATTTCGGTCCAAATGGAGGCCCAAATTGTAGGCCTGGAATGTCCATCTCATCATGGACCCAAAGGACGTCCTAACGTTTCCCAAAGGCCTGATATGGACACAAGGTGAAGGGCATGGAGATCCCCACCCAGACAGTTCAAGTCTAAACACTTTCACAGAAGCCAGATGACTTAGAAACAGAAACTGCATCTTCTCCTAAAACAATGTAAGTGATTTCCTTGGTGCTTTTTACCCTGGTCCACAGTGGTGTGAGAGCTGACCGCCCACCCCTGTGGCCGCTCCTCACACCACTCCCCCCTGCAGACATTGCACATGATCTTCCCTCTGCTGTGAATGCTCACCTGCCTCCACCCCCAGCCTGGCTCCTTCTCATCATCCAGGGCTCAGTGTGATTGACAGCTCCTCAGGGAAGCCCTGCACCACGATTCTAACACGATTCTAAATGTCCTGCACCTAATAAGACTCTCCCTGGACCCACGTATATTCCCTCAATAGCACCTGGCTTGTCACCTGTCATTCCACCTCCTAGACTGGAAGCCATATTTGGGGAGGGTGGATGCATGCCTCTTAAGTCTACACAGCACCACCCCAAGCCCCTTTTCTGCAATACTAGAGAGGCTGAAGAACTCAAGTACCTGATACCCAGCCTCCCTTGCAGCTAGGGTTAGTCATGTGTCAGGTGTGGCCAATGAGATGTCCACAGAGGATCCCGGGAGGCCTTCCCTCTGTCTCTTCACCCTCCACATTCTTCCTGCCCACTTCTTGGCGAGGTACAACAGCCACGGCCAAGACTGGCAGAGCAGGGAGGGAGAAGCCTGGTTTCTGGGTGGTGTCCCTGAGCCGCTGCCCCAGCACTGGGCTGCCTACCCTAGGACTTCCTGTAATGTGGGGGTGGATTAACCCTGGAGGTTCTCCAGAGCTCTGAGTGGGAAGCTGGACATCTGAAGGGGGATCTTTGTCCTGCAGGCTATCCCATGAGCTGCAGGACATTTAGCAGCATCCTGGCCTCTCCCACCACAGCCAGGAGCACCTCCCCTCTCCTCCCCCAAGTCATGACGATCATAAACAAGATGGCCAGTGCTGCCCAGCCAGTGTGGGTCAATGGTTGAGCATCAACCTATGAACCAGGAGGTCACGGTTTGATTACCGATAAGGGCACATGTTTAGGTTGCTGGTTTGATCCCAGTAGGTGGCATGCAGGAAGCAGCTGATCAATGAGTCTCTCTCATCATTGATGTTTTTATCCCTCTATCCTTCTCCCTTCCCCTCTGAAATAAATAAATAAATAGATCAAAAAAACAAAAAGATTGCCAGTGTCCCTAGGAAGCAATATCTGTCCCCGTGCCCCTGCTGTGGCTGCAATTGCTGGTGTGAGCTGCATCTGAGGGAAGAAACTGGTAACCCGAGAATCACTGCTAGATTCCCAGGACATCCTATGATCCTGGACTCACACTCTTGCAGGCCAGGGCGCCAGGGGAGGCATGGCGCTGGAGGGCCTACCTCCTGGGCTTTCTCAGCCTTCAGGGTCTTCTTGTCACGGAGCAGCTGTTCTCTCTCCTCCACCAGCTCCTCACAGAGAGTCTCCAGAACCTGGCTGGTCTGCTTTTCTCTTTCCATCTGAACTCGCAAGTCTTCAATCTGCGGAACCAAAGAAGCAGCCCATGCAAAAGTCCGTTTCAGGGAGTGAACTGTGTTTTAAAGCAAACCCGAAACCTGTCAGCCCCAGGGAACACTTTATCAGCCTTTTCTCAAGGGAAAACCTTCTGTCCCACTTCTTGGGGAGGTACATCAGCCACTGCCAAGACTGCAGAGCAGGAGGGGAGAAGCCTGGCTCCTGGGTGGCATCCCTGAGCTGCTGCCCAGGTCAGGCCTAGTTGTGCAGTGAGCTCCCCACACCCTTGACCATCACCTCTCAGCACACAGCGTACACTTCCAACTCATGATAGAGAAAAAGGCCATGGACACCAATAGGTCAGCTTTCCTCCCAGTTTTCCACTGCTACTCTCAATGCTTACATCTTAGGCTGTGTCCACTACTGTCCTGAGGGTCAGGCCACATTCCTGGGGCCAGTAGCCACCACTGGATGTCCTACCGGGACTTCACCCAGTTGGTGACATTCCTATTCATCCAGCTGCTCTGAGGGGTCCTCTGCCATCTCTCTCCCTCCTCTCCCCTCCAAGTAAATGGACCACCAAGGCCTGTCCTCGTTCCCCATGCGGCTCCCCCTCCACACCCTACTGCTGCCCAGGCCAGACCAGTTCCGTCCTGCCTGGACGACTGCCCAATCAACGGCCTGTCACAGACCTCTTCTGCGGACCCACCGGTGCCCACTCCCTGAACATGAACTGCCTGGACCCGCAAATCTCACACTCTGTGCCTGACACCTGAACACCGTGATGGACCCAGATTCAGACTCAGGGTGGGCCCTGAGGTGCGACTCCCAGGCGAGGCCCATGGTGCTGTCCCTTCCCACTGACATCAAACTCATGACCACCTGGGAGGGGGAGAGGGTGGCTCCCTGCTAACAATGTGACCATGAGTGCATTTCTGTAACTGACAGGGCCAGCAAGCAGCAGGCATGGGAGCCAGCTTCTGTCAGGGTGACGTGCTCAGCTCACACCTGGCAGGTGGCAGGTGCAACAAGAGCTGACCCCTCCTGAGAGCGCCAGGCCCCTCCCACCCTCAGAGCTTCTGACAAGGTCAGTCTGGGCTGGGGCCCAAGAGCCTGCATTTGGACTTGTGACCCTGATGCTGGTTTGGGTTGATGGCTCTAAAGCTAAAACAGAGGAGCCCCACGATCCAGATCAGGTGGCTCTCAGAGCGTTAAACACCCCAGACCGCAGCTACCGACCAGGACCTCTGGGGGCAGGACCTTCAGACACCCAGTGACCCAGTGAGCAGCAAGGACCAAGAGCCGGCTCCATTCACCTGGCTGGGAGCAGCCTGGCACAGGCAGGTTTACAAACTCCAGGAAGGATCGCTGCTCTAAGGCCAGCTCTGCCTACTTCTCCTGGGCCGAGGCCGCCCTGCCTTTATCTCACAGGTCTGGGCACAGTCTCCAGACTCCTCGGAAGCAGCAGGCAGGCAGCTTCTTCCCCATGAGGGGGAGGGTCAGGCACAGTGGGGCTCATATCCGTGCCCTCACAGCACCCTGTGGGCACACCCAGCCCCCTGCCCCAACATGGGGACAGGGCAGCCCCACCAGCCAGGGCCAATAGCAAAAGGTGCTGCAAGGTGCCACCTGTCTGAGTCTTTCTCACAAGTGAGAACATCTTTCTTCTCCTTCCTTATCGCTGTCCCACTTCCTAGCACCAGGTCTGAGCTCAGCAGGAAGCAGGCATCTGCCCTGATAGCCGTGCCTGCTCTGGAGCTGGCCCTGAGGAGGAAGGCCCTGCACAGCTGTCACTCACCCTCATTCAGAGAAGGGCACCGGCCCAGGGAGTCCAGTGATCTGCCCAGAGTCCCACAGTGAGGATGCGGCAGCGCCGAACGCATGGTAGTGGGCCGACCCCAGGCCTGCTCTCTCAGACAAGATCTGGGGTGTGTCCCCCCGCCAACCTCCTGCCTTGTTCACCCCTCCCCCTCTTACTGTTAATCCTTCTCCCCTGCCGCTCCGTCTGTCCCAGTGAAAGGAATGTTATGTCCAACCTTTGCATATCTGGCATGGCTGCTTCCGGTCTGAAGATGTGACTGCCTCATGTCCCCCCCACCCCCTTGCCAGACATCCCATCTTTCTCCGCTCCTTTTTGCTGTGGAACTGGAACTCTCACTTCTGTCCTTCCCTGAAGGCCCTCCCTTCCCCTAGGGCAGTGGTTCTCAACCTGTGGGTCACCAACAATAAAATACATCCTGCATATCAGATATTTACATTATGATTCATAATAGTAGCAAAATTACAATTATGAAGTAGCAACGAAAATAATTTTATGATCAGGGGTCACCACAACACAAGGTACTGTATTAAAGGGTCGCGGCATTAGGAAGGTTGAGAACCACTCTGAGAGATCGCTGGGCTGAGATGGGTTTCCTGTCTTCCTCAAAGCACCAGGCTTGGGCCGCGGACTCCTGTGGGGAGGCTCCAGGTCCCCAGAGCACGCGGGTGCCAGGGGCCTGCCCATCAGCCCCTGTCCTGCACTTTTGTGCCCACGATAGGCCCCAAAGGGCTGCCCCTCTTCCTAAGAGGAATGAACTCTGAGGATGTCAGTGCAAAGTGAGGGTGGGGGGCACACCCTCTCTAAGGTCCACAGAAGGGTCGTGAGTTACAGGGAAGGAGGTGAACTTCGGGAACTAAGGTTTATACAGACCGAAGGGAGCCTACAGCCTGGGAGACACTGGGTGGTGGGAGAGCCGAGCTGGCACCGGGGGGCCTGGGACTCTGGGCCACCTGTCCTGGCTGACCCTTGTCTCTCCTTCTCAGACACCTCCCAGAGGGCCATGTTGTCTGGTCGTGTCCAAGGCTGGGCCTGTCCTGGCTCCAGGGAGGTCAATGTCAGGCCATGTCCCCTGTGGTTTTTAGCTGATGGCCCAGATGCACCATTGATCCAACATTAGGGAGGACCCATAATGCAGCCAGGCCCCGAGCAGGTTGAGCAGGACAGGGAGGAGAGCAGAAGGGCCGTCTTCACAGGGCTCCTGGCAGCAGACAAGGGAGAGTGCTGGACTGCAAACTGCAGCCCCTTCCCCCACTAGGGGCTCAGAGCCAAGACAGGTCTCTGAGAGATGTGGCAGGACTGCCCAGGAGTCCTACAGGGAACTGATCAGGAGAGGAAGCAGGGGATGGGACCCGAGAGACAGGGCTAAGGAGTCATGTGGGGAGGCGGCAGCCACCACCTGTCCTGTGTGTGTGGAGGAGGGACTGGAGTGGACCCCAAGGACAGAAGCGTCAGGGGTCATCTCTCATCCCTGCAGGGAGCTGGGCCAGAGGCTACAGCGCAGGCCTCTGCAGCTCACCCCTGGGGAACCGCCCCGTTGGAGGTTCTCATCTTTCTAAAGGTCAAGCCTTTTTATCTCAGCCGAGGTCGGGCTGCCATATACAGAGACATTCACTGTGCCCAGACCACGTGAATCTAAAACCCAGACTGTCCGGTGGCTTTCCCTGAGCTGCGCTGCACAGAGAGATGCGGCATGAGGAGGGGCTTCCTCCCGGCCCCCAGGGAGAGGACACACTGCTTGGCAGCTTCTCTGCTGCAAGGCGCACGGAGCCTCAAAGGACGAGAAGCGTGAGTCATTGAACCTTGGACGTCTCACGAGAGGCCTGGAGAAACCACTGCACAGGAGGAGGGGCGGTCCCAAGCCTCACCCAGAGATGAAGTTCCAGCAGAGCCGTGACCAGCGGGACCCAGGTCTCTGGTCTGCAGCCCACGTCCCTGCCATCGCCGGGGCAGCCTCAGCAAATGACGCTGGCAGGACCCCTGGGCCGGACGGGACAGACACCCAGACACCTGAAAGCACCAGTCCTGCCAGGTGGTCAGCAAGCAGGAGTGCCCTTGCGCCTCCCTCATCCGGAATCCCGGCACCCGTCACGGTGTGCTCAGAGCCCACGACGCAGCTGTGTCACCCGTGGTGGCTACATGGACTGAGGCCCTCTGACCCAGAATGACCTGCTCAGGGAGGCCGTCGCTAGCCTCTCAGGGCCCTTCTTGCCATGTGAATGGGGTCCTGGTAACTGTAGGATGAACCTGGCTGGTGAGCCTGCCTGTCCTCCCAGATGTCTCTTCTACTGTGCTACTGGGAAGACCTGGTTTGTCCAGAAAGGCAATGCCGTCCAGCCATCTCTTCTTCCTCATGCCCTCGACCGAAAGGAGAGAGTGAGCTCTGCCTCCTGTCACCAGCAGCCATGCCCTGAAACGGCCCAGCCATGGTCTCCACACGGGCCGAGTCTTCCATCGCTGCTTCTCTCCCGGGCCCGCCCGGTGGTTTCGAAGAGGGCGCTGCTCTCCTTCCATGAGGCACTTACAGGCTGGACCCTTTGCCTGCACTAACTCACACCATCCTCACCACAGCTACTGGTGGGTGCATCATTAACCCCATTTCACAGATGAAGGCAGCGAGGCCCACAGAGGTCCATCGTGTGCGGTCTCACTGCTGCAGGGACGCCTCCTGCTGCCTCGTGACGCCTCTCCAGGAGGCCTCCTGTCCCCCTACCAAAACGGTGGCTGCACGGGACTCGGCCTTTCTCCAGCTGCGCATGCTCATGGACACCTGGGTGCTCCCCCTGGCCACTTACATGCCCGTATGTTCCGGACACCACCCACGGGTACCTGCTTTCTGAGCTGCTGGTTCTCCTCTTCCAGCTCCTGGCGCTGGAGGCTGCTCTCCTGCAGGGCCAGGGAGGCGTCCCGCAGCCCCTGGATGGTGCCCTGGAGGCTCTGCTTCTCCTGGTCCAGCTTCAGGAAGCAGCTGGAGGCTGAAGAGCAAAGTGGAGTCAGAGCCCATATTCCAGGGGCCTCAGCTTCTGCTCTCTGCCCCCGGCCCTGAGACGGCCATCACCCTGAGCCCTAGGCTTGAGGGTCTGGGATGGTCAGCTGGGTGCCCTCCCTTTTCCCCAGGGTGCTGCTGCTGTCTGCACCTGAGGGTTCCTCGGGCGGTTATGGCCCCTCTGCTGGCTCAGCTGGGTTTGTCAGGGGAGCAAGCAGAGCTTAAGAAGAAAGCAGGTGATGGTAGAGAGAAGCCAATGCAAACGTTCAAGACAGTGGAATTGCTGGCACCACTTTCTGCCAAGTTTTAACCTGACCGTCAAGCCAAGGATTTCAGAGACTAACGGAGATGGCAGAGTGCGCTCTCTGTGCCAGCCTCAGAGTGGTGTGAATGCAGGTGGCTCAGCCGACGGTGTAGGGGGACACGATCATTGACCGCATGTCTGTGGGTGGAAGAGGCTATGGGGCACATATGCCCAGTACTCGCCATCTCTGGGTAAGTTCCTTCAGTCAGAGATTTCATTTTATACTTTCACAAATGCATTGAAAGAGAATGAGACAGTTTATCCAGACTGCTTTAAAAATTCTAAGCGAGATGAAAACATAAGGTAAAGCCAGAAAAAGGCAATGTCCTTTGCTTTTAAACAGCTTCAATGCGGAACAGAAAGGGAGCACAGACCTGAGAAGAATGGGAGTTCGAGGCCCCTCCCTGCCGCCAGCAGGTGCGTGACTTTGGGAAAGTCCCGGGGCTTGTTCAGGAGGAAAACATGACTGTCTGAGGGCTCAGGGTTGTTCCCTCACCTGTCCCTCCCGGCCACACACTCAGCTCTGGGAGCCTTATCGCACTGTACTGCTAGTAGGGCTGCTCATGAGCACCCCAAGAAGCAGAGCAGTGGGTATCTTTGGATAAGACAAGGGCGAGAAGAACAGCCATCCTTTGTTTCCGCCCCGTGGGCCAGGCACAGCCTAACGCTTCACTGTCTCCTCTCACAAGATACCCATAGCAATCCTGTGAGGCAGCTTCATTACCCCCATTTTGCAGATAAGAAAACTGAGGTGCAGAAGAGGTCACTTGGCTAACAAGTAGAGGAGCCAGGACTTTAATCCAGGCCTTTCTGACTTAAGAAGCCACCACCCCAACCACAAAAAGTACGTTCATGCTTTGTTCGTGAGCTGCCAGCTAAGCAGTAGGAGTTGGGAACATGAAGAAGAAGTCAGTCATCGACCTGAAAGGGGTCACAAGCTACACTGAGCATCTGAATCAGGGAGGCTTTCCAACCCCATCAGCCACCCTGGATGCTAACAAGTACATTTGGTCTGAGCCAGTCCCTGCCAGCCAGCACTACTTCTGTGTCCCACCAGGGGGCAGTGTGCTCCCCAGGAACCTCAACTCCCAGAGCCTGGGTTCCCAGGAGTGGGGAGACACCAAACCACAGAAAGAACTAACTTCTCACACAGACTCATAATTCAATGAACTGATTTTAGGTTTGGAGTAGATGGGATGCCTTGAAGAGAGGACTACCCAGCTGCTTTCAACAGCCTTTCCATGAGGCTGAGGAATGTTGCTCAGAATTAAAAAGAAGCCCCTCCCCAAACCAGCCTAAGGCCCTCCTGGCTCAGCAGAGCTCTAAGCAAACCCTAACCTGCGCTCTCAGGTGCACGTGTGCTATTATTGGACACAGGAACTGGCTTGTTGTTTGCTGGGTGCTGAGGCTCCTGCTGTACGACCGGCCACCACACCCACCTTCCCTGGCCAACCCCTCACCTCCTCTGGGGGCTGGGAGGGGGCAACACCAGAGGGAGAGGAAGAGGCCTGGGTCCCCTGTACAGCAGCCACTGAGCAGCCCCTGCCCAGGAAGATGGAGAGCAGACTACACCCATCTGCCAGATTATGAAATCAACGGAGGAAACCATGCCCCGGGTACAGCTATAATGGAGGTGAGTGACCACTGGGGACGTCTCCTGCATCCAGAGCTTCCAATCCTCCACCAACAGATCTAAGACACCCTCTGGGCATCAGCGTGCTGTCATCTGGAAGCTCCTGGCACTGGCTGAATGGAAGCTAAGAAATCTGGCAACACTTCCTTCGCATTTGGCTTCCTGACTCAAGGTGACCAGGCCCTTCATGTTCTTGGGGAGAATTGCAAGGAAACAGTTCCAAATGGCCCATGAATAAAACCCTATTTACTTGGGTAGAGGAAGTGCTAACACCTGAGTTTCAGAGCCAAGGGCTCAGCTCCCCGGGTAAGGGAGAATCCACAGCCAGGCTGGCTCCCAGGCACCTGCTTTACCCTCTGACAGCTGCTCCAGCTCCCAGCGCAGGTGGGCGGACTCCTCCACACTCTGCCCCTGTGCAGTCTTGAGGGCCATGTTCTCTTCCCGCAGCTCCTCAAGGCACTTCTGGTCTGTGTCCCGGTCCTAGTGCAGGAAGTGGGGGGGCAGTGAGGATGTGGACTGGGGCACACTCTGGACAAGCCCCGGCCCCATGCATCTGTCCTCATTCCCCCAGGATGAAGGGCCTCCATGCCCCAAGGGGTGAAGACACCTGAGGTCTCTGAGCAGTGTCTGAGCAAAGTGACCTACAGCTCAGGGCTTTAGAGCAAGTGCTATGGTGAGTGCAGCTTTGTGCCCCCTTAGAAGGCCTAATACCGTGGAAAGGCCATAGGGACTCACACATCACAGCTCAACCTACATCATAAATACCCGAGGAGACCCTTTTTGCAAGAGGCCCAATCCCTCCATCCTCACAGAAAAGCAACACAGCATCAGGCCCTCTCTTTGTTGGAGGCTTCAGTGGTGCCCAGCAAGTGACTCTCTGCCCTCAGAGGGTCACTGTGGTGGCAGCAGCACCGATCCAGTAGCTGAACATCAGAGAAGGGCACAACATGAACCTAAAACTGCCCCCATCTGTGTTACACGTGGTGACCACAGCTTGTCCTACCAATTGTAGGTGGTGCAGCTTCGATTTCAGCTGCACATTCTCCTCCTCCCGCTCGAATAGCTTATCAATCCAATACCAAATCCAATGCTCCTGGAGGTGGCCCTTGGTGTCCATTGAATAATCGTCTCCAGTCCGCACCTGGTCAGCAAGAACACACATGAGAGCCATCAGGTTAAGGCCCCTGGTCATGACGACAGCTCTTTCAGTCACTGGACCCAAACCAACAACCTAAGGATGTCTCTGCTGCCTCGGAAAGTTCTGTCTCCACTTTTGAGCCCCTGCCCTTCTCCATTAGGCCAGGCCAGATGGAAAAATCCCTGAAGCAAGACACTATTTAAATTCGAAAGGGAACACTGTCAGTGTCTGACACGTACAGCCTCGGTGGTTGGACGAGTGCACCTGCTGACAGGTGTGGGACTTGGCTGAGCCACTTTCTTAAACAAGGAAGGGGTGAGGCTGAGAGTCTGTCCTGGCTTTGAGGGCCGAGTCTAGGCCTCTCACAGTCACTCCACTGATCTGGGTCCAGGAACAAAATTCAGACGAGCTTTTGTTCAATACGCAGTTCCTATTTGAACATGTCACACACCTACTCTTAGAAAAACAACAGGTCTGGGCAGTTTTCCAGAAATGAGGGGTCTGTAAGACACAACAAGCAAACAAGTCCTATGGCCTCTGTGTGCCAGGCACATGCTGGGGGTGGACACAATGGTTGGGCCCTCACAGTCCCCCTCATGGGAGGCGTCCACTGCACTTACTCCCGTGCCAGCGCCCAGCACACACTGGGGAGCTGTTCAGCTCATTCCCCCATCCCTGCTCCCACCCCCGGAGAACTCCTAGCACCACTCAGTCTCAGGAGGACTGAGTCTCCCCTGAATGCCCTCAGTCTGCGAGCACGCATACACGGGGACATGCCCATTTCTCCTGGCGGGCTGTTTTCCAAGGCTTGCCCCACTCACGGGTTCTAACACCTGGGAGCGGCCGGTAGCTCCTGCTTATCCATCACGGGTTCATTTCCCCGCACGGGCCAGAACCCCGGATTCTCGGTAGAGGGGAAACCGTGCACCTACCGCCAGGGGACACGGTTCTGGTCAACGCTTCGCATCCGGAAGGGTTTGGTCACTGACTCTGGCTTCACCTGACGGCCCCCTCTTTCCCTGTCCCCGGCCCAGCACTAGGTGCTCTCTGTCTCTGCCACATTCACTTTCACAACAGCCCCCAGAGGGAGGCAGGGACAGTCCCTTCCTACACACGAAGAGGCTGACTTGGGTCAATTAAGGAATGAGCCCCAAGTCACAAAGTCAGCCAGGGGTGAAGCTGAGCTTGAACTCAGGCTGGAGAGGTCCAGACCTATCTCTTCACTGCCCTCAGCAGCCTGCACCTTATCCTTAGGGAGCCCGCGTGGGTAAGGAGCCCCTCAGCGATGTGAGCCGGAGCACATGGAGGGGCTTCAAAAGGAAGGAGGTCCAGCTCTCCCCCCTTGGCCACTGTCCCCAGCATTCTCATCTTGTGTCTACCCACCAGTACTCACCAGTATCACCATACTCTCAGGCCCTGAACTCCCATAGCAAAGCCTGCCTGGTCATCCTTATAACCAACTCCTACTCAGCCTTCAAAACCCAGCCATAATTGCCTGCTTTGAAAAGGACTTCAACTCCACTCTATCCCACCCACTGAGTCAGATGCTGGGGCACAAGAGTGCCCACTATGAGGCAACACTGAACTGGCCTGTCCGCCCCCCCGCCAAGGCTAGTCCTGCAGGGCAGGACTATGCCACTCCTCTTCTCGTGGGGCCCCCAGAAATGTTCAAAGACACTTGTCAGCTGAATCACACCATGAGGGGGAGTCAGAGGCGCCCTGTGAGTTGGGCCCTGAAGGACCTGGGGAAAGGCAGGGATGGACAAGTGTCCAGAAGCAGAGTACAGCGTGGAACTAAATGATTTATAGCTACTCTTCCAATGGGACTCAGTTTTCTGGGGTTGTCAACCTTCCCATGGATCAGGCTGCAGAAACATCTATCCTGCTTTGCACACCCACCACCCAGAAGTGAGAGACAAGACCCCGAGAAGCTGTGCCTGAGTCCTAAAGTGGCAAAGGCTGGGCCTGGAGGAGGCAGAGAGTGTGAGACCACTAGACCCACGGTCCGATCTTAAACCCAGCTCCTACCTGCCTTGCCACCACCTGCCCTGCCCCTCCCTGCACTATCGCAATCAGGGGCCCCATCTGTGGACAGAACTTCCCGTAATAAGCTCACTAGAAACGTGTTCCTATCGACGCCACCCGGTGCCAGGGCACGAGGGGATGAGAGGCACCTGGACCACCTCTCCTCTGAGGGACGGGACAAGGCTTGCTCCACACCCAGCAAGTGGAGTGAGAGCTGGGACTCGCCTGCGGAGCCTCTGCCGCCTCTGGGAGCAAGCCCTGCCCAGGAAGCTAAGTGCCCATCCCTCTCTGAGGGGCAGAGACAGGCCCCGCTGGCCCTCAGCTGCTCTGGACCCTCAAGGCACCCGCATGTCTGCCCCTGGTGGCGTGAATTTCAGCCAAGGACAAAGCATGGGACCAGAGGGACCTCCCAGGCACTCTCTCTCTACCTCTGTCCTCCACCCCGGGCCCTGGCAGCAGAGGTGGGATGAGTGTTTGCAGACAGAGTCAAGGATCACCCGGTGCACCCCCACTTCCCAGGTGTGCCTAGGGGCGCCCAGGCCTGTCTCCTCGGGTTGTGGCACTGCCACCCTTCCCTTTTATGTGTTTCTCAGTGGCGACACTGGACGGGCTATTGGGGAGGGGCACCCAGGTCATCTGTGGCTCCCCCTGTACCCATAGGAGGGCCCCGCATGGTGGGTGTCCACGTGACAGTCGTGCTCGGCTCTCTGCTCTGCTGCCCATCACACCCGACACTGTCACCGTCCGAAGGAGACAACACCTCTGATTCCCCCGTCCTTTTCCCCAGGTTGCAAGTCTTTTCATGCTGAGATGGGATTTACTTGACGTGTGTGGTCACTACCAAGTGCCTTGTGTGTGCCAGCCCCAGGCATGCAGTCAGACAGGCCCCTGCCCCTGCCCTCAGGGGCTCGAGCTGCACACAGTAAACCTGGCCCAGCAGGGCTGACGGGAGGCTGCACACAGACTGCAGGGCTGTTGGCACCACTGTGATGTGAGCGTGCAGGTGCAAGCTCTGTCCTCTCAGCTCCCTGGGCCCCGGCACACGGGCCTTGGAGAACAGTGTGACTCATCCTCTATGTGGCCTGGCCTCCATGGACAACTCTATTTCTCTTGTAATTCATTTACTAATGCAAAGTGTAAAGCATTACTAATTTCACAGCAAAATTATTAAACGACTAGAGGCCCGGTGCATGAAATTCCTGCTGGGTGCGGTCCCTAGGCCTGGCCGGAGATTGAAGTGAGAGCATCTGGCGTGGAGGCCAGCTGACCTCTGGGCCCAGGGCAGTATCTGGGCCCCTGGCCCCCGTGCACCCCCCTAACCCCCGCACCTGAGTCATGGTGCCCAAGTCTCCACACAGAGATGCGGTGAGCATGGACGGACATTGCGGGCTGGAGAGCAGTGTAGACCTCTGAGCCACCCAGTGGTATCCCCCGGAAGAAGGGAGGGCAGCATGCTCTCTCCTGGCTGGTCTTGCAGACCAGCTCCTGCTCAAACCCACCAGGAGCCCAACAGGCCCCTGTGGTCCTGGCTGCTGTGGCCTGGCTCACCTTAACAAGTTTGTGCGGGTGCAGGGTGGGCTCCTCCTGGGCACCCAGCACCTGAGCTCAGGGGCTTCCCTGGCGGGCGAGCCCTGGTGTCCCAGGGGATAGTTGCAGGGGGAGTGAGAACGAGCTTGCATTCTTACAGCACCTCCATCCCTGTCACCCCCGCTCCCAGTTAGCCAGCAAGAGGTCACAGTGCATTGCCAATGCCAGCAATGTTCTGCGCTGCCCCCTGGTGACCAGCGCATGTCATAGCAAGCAATCGAACTCCTGGCCTCCCTGTGGAACTCCCATCCAAGGGGACAATTTGCATATTAGGCTTTTATTAAATAGGATATTAAAAATGTTGCTGCTGCTATCCAGAGGCACACACTTGAGAACATGGAACAGGGTTCCCACGGGAAACCCTGCAAAAGCCCAGAAGCTCCCCAGTGCCAGGAGCCAGTCTTACTTTGTGTTAGATCCCCTGCTCCTGGCGCAAGGCTTGGTGCCACACAGGCCTTCAGTCACTGCGTCTGCATGACTGAGCAAGGCTGCTTGGACAGGCCCGGAAAAGACACGGAGACAGGGGCTGAGCCCTGAAACCCACACCATCCATGGGGCAGAGTGTCGGCTGAGATGTGGGGCCTGCCTTAGGTCAACAGGTTGCAGGAGACTGTGGAGGCCACAGCCTGAGGAAGCTTGCACATGACCTTCCGAAACCCTCCTACCTGTGAGTGAGGGTGCCCGTGCCCCACACCTGTCTGTGCTGCAGATTGATGCCCTTCATCACCAGCAGGGCCAGGAGACCATTTCCAGGACAAAGCCAAGAGCTGGCCCCCACCCCACCTCTCCTGGGCTGGGCTGCTTTGGCACAGCACCCAGGGTGCCTTCTCCCCAGGGAGCAGAGCGGTGAGCCACCAACATCCCTGTGGGAACAGCCACTCCCTGAGTAGGTGGGAGGAGCAAACAAGCCTGAAAGAGAGGGTCCTGAACTCACTGCTCAGGTGAGGCAGTTGGGTGCATGATCAGAGCGTCAGTAACCCTGCCTGGGCCTTGGTCTCCATCCCCCCTCAGCCCTGACACCCTCCTCTGAACAGACCCATAACCTCGGGATCCGAGTAGGCTACACCACGGAGAGCATCATATGGGACTTGCCCAAATACCAGGTATTTTACCTCTTTCCTTGTATAAACCTCACGGACTAGTACAGTTATCTCTGTTTTATAGATGAGGAAACAGTCCTGGTAAGATTTAGCCATAGAAATTACAAGGAGTCTTAAAGGAAAAGATTGGTGAATAGAAGGTCATCATTGTGGCATGAAGGAGGAGGAGGAAAAGTCCTAGAAGAATCAGGGCTTTTCAATCACATTCCCAACCCTATTCCTTCCACTACCAGAGGGAGCCCAGGGGTCTGGCAGTCAGTCTGCGGTGCAGGGAGAGGGCCAGCTGGGGAGGCATTGCGGCCCCTCTCCCCTCTTCCAGGACAAAAGTGCCCGCGGGCCGCCTGCCCCTGCTGGGCTCACTTCCATGCAGCTGCAAAGAAGTCTATGTCTTTCTACTTCTGCCTGAGGCCCATCGCCTCCATCTCCAGCTTCTCCATGATGTTAACCTTCTCCCTCAGGGAGTCCAGCTCAGGGAGGGGGGCACGAGCAGCCTGGGCGCTGGCTGCCAGCTCCATGTTCTGGGAGGTGGGCAAAGGCAGGGGACCTGGCTCAGGGCACCCTCAGGGCTGGGGAAGGCCCAAGTCACTGCAGCCCTAGGAGAAGCCAGGGGCGGCCAAGCTGGTCCATGTGCAGGCCCGTGTGTGGGCCCCACATGCTCTCACTGAAGCATGTAACCCCCCAGCAGCTCCCAGGACAACTGGCTCTCAGGCAGCACTGCTTTGAGCGGGAAGAAGAGATGTCCCAGGTCACATTCCTGGACCTGGGGCCCCGGTGACTGGGGCATCCTAGCCCCCCACCCCCGGCCCACACGATAGGCCTCCTGCTCACATTGTGCCGGGCCTCCTGCAGCTCCAGCACCAGCTGGTACAACTGATGCCTGGCGTCCACCAGCTGCTTCGTCTTCTCCTCCCTGGGGGCGATGAGAACATGTGGTGTGGGTTCCTCAGAAGCACCCGGAAAGCCCACCACCTGGGAGACCACAGCGGGGAAAGAGGGGGTCCTGGCTTCTAGGCGTGAGGAGGGCGTCTACACGTGGGGCTGCAAAAACACTCTGGAGTCCAAGGTGAGCTTTAAGTTGTCACTGCTGCTCTCAGACTTCAGCACAGACCTGAGCTTTCCTCTGAGGTTGCAGGACAGGGAAGGAGCCCCCAGAGCCACTGCTCCCTCCACAGCCAGGCAGGCAGGGAGGCCCCCTGGCAGGGAGGTGAAGGCAGGCAGCTTCCCAGATACCGGGCATGGTGCCATCACCAGCTACAGGAAAGGGGGAGCAGGCCCACCGGACCAGACAGGAGAGACACATCCTCCCTCCAGCCAAGAGCACCCACACTGGGCCCGAGGCTGAGCGGCAGGCTGCTGCTCTGAGTCTGCCATGTCTGGACTGGCAGGAGCCCTAAAGGCCCAGCAGAACCCAGGCCCGGGGAGGCGAGGGAGCGGGCTAGCCCAGGGCCCAAAAGGGACCCAGCTCAAAGTAGAGCCCCGTTACTCCAGGGCACTGTGAGAGCTGCCCCGTTTGCTGCACCGCATGGCAGTGAACCACATGTGCGAGCAATGGGTGGTGACACACGGCACAAGAGCAGAAAGACCGGGGTCACTGGGGGACTCACAGCTCCTGCCTGACGCCACGCAGCATGGCCTTGGTGTCCGCCAGCTCCATGGCCAGGTGCTGCGTGTCCTCGCTGGGGCGGCTGCTGGTGTTCCACTCCTGGGTCATGGTCACGACCAGCTACAGCAGGGCAGACAGGGGGTCTCACCGGCGTGCTCCTGTGCCCGGCACAGTGCCCGCACTAGAACGTGGTGAAGAATGACCAAAAGATGGAAGAAAGTAAAAGAGAAGATGGCAGCCGAGACTGCAAAGCCAGGAGGGAGGCAGGAGAAAGTGGGGGAGTTTTTAAGAAGCAAGAATATATTTAGTGAAACAGAAGGGCCGAGTGAATGGAGCAGGCCCCCCAAGCTCAACCTCTGTCCTCACACAGGTGTCTCAGGGGACTACGCCCTGCAGGGAAAGTGCCTACGTCCTGCCCCCTCGGAAATGGGCCAGGAGGACAGACAGTGTGCAGCTTGAGAGGAAGTCAGGATGAGGAGCGGGGCCATAACTAGGGCCCCAGACCCAGGCCCCTCCCCACCGTCCCCCAGGATGTTGGGCCACCCGCAAACACACCTCCCTGCATCTGTCTTGCTCAATTAAGAGCCTCCTGAGGCGAAAGGACATGTTGTTGGAGAGGTACTCCACCTCCTCCAGGGCCATTCTGGGACCTCCAACCACTGCAGGTCCAACAGGCTCTCCTGGTGGCGGGTCACCTGAGGGCACACAAGGGTAAGGTGCTGCGGAGGCCGGGCAGGGAGCAGCAGAGGGTCCCTGAGAGCACCCGCCTCCCAAGGCCACGCCCCCTGGGACCTAGGCCCACTCTCCCACAGCTGACCCACCTCACTGACATTATTAACCCTCAGCCACCAAGTTCCTGTGGGGGGCGGGCAGGCTCCTCAGCAAGTGGAGCCACACTCTGAGGCCGAGCTCTTTCCTCACACACCACTGCTGCTGTCACACTAGCTCAAGGAGGACACTGACTTTCCACCAGACAGCACTCCTCCCAGTGTGGGAGCTCCCTCAACTGTCCCAGGAATTTCAGTCACACACCATCCATGTGTCACACAAAGAGGGTAAGCCTTGGGAGGGGAGGGTCAGGTGGGATAGCATCTTCAAATAAAATCTAACGTGAAGATGGAAAAATATTAGAGCGCTTATGTCAGAAGGTTGGGAAACATGACAATCTTATTTTTTGAGGAAACCTTTCATAACCTGAAATACTTCTCAGGTGAGCCTGGATCTCATCCCCACAGGCCACACAGGACCACCTGGTTCCCCCTTTCTGCGGGTGTGAGCGCAGGCCCACGGCCTCATCCTCACTGGGCAGCCTCTCCTCCAACTGCCGACATCACCTTCTTCAAGCCAGGGACATGCCCTTGACGGGGAATCAAACCTGCAACCCTTTGGTGGGCAGTCCAACACTCTAACCACTGAGTCAAACCATCTAGAGCCTGGACCCGCAGCCTAGCCCCCTGGCAGGAGCAGGTGAACTCATCTCAGTCCAGGGCTGGAAGCGCCAGGGGGTCCTGCACCTGGTGCATGGGCTCCAGCGTAGGAAACCCCTCAGGGCCCCAGGCCAGGACCCCCGCCCCCAGTTTGAAAACCTGTGAAGACCCCTGAGTCCCAGGACTGCCAGGGCCCAGGCCGTTGGGGTCTGTGGAGACCTTAGGGGGGCGGGAGAGGAGCCAGGGTACCCACAATGGGACAGGGAGGCAGGTGTACTCACCCCTGCCACCAGCGGACTCTGTAGAAAGAGCTCCATGAGCTCGCGGACAGTAACGTCCCTCCTGAGGCTGTGTCCACCGTCCATCGCTATGCACACAGGCTCTGGGCCCACCGTCTCTGTGCCCACCAGCTCTGTGCCAAGCAGTGCCAACGGCTACTCGTCCCACATTCCAATTGGCTCCTCACCCCACATTCTAAACTGCTATTTGCACCACATTCTAAACTGCTATTTCCTCCACATTCGAAAAAGGCTCTTTGCCCCACATTCCAAACAGCTCTTGAGCCTGTATTCCTAACTGCTCTGGGCCCCGTATTCCATAGGGCTCTAGCAGGGAATACAGCTGGGTCAGGGGCTGTGGCAGCTCCTGGCCAATGCTAAGTGCTTTGGAATACACAAAAATTATGACACACTTCCTATGAAATTTAAAATCTTTCTGGGCACATGAAATATAAGGAAATATGTGTACATCCTATGTATTTATAAATGTAAATTAACCACTTAAACATAATTTTGCCAATCTCCATTTTTAATTATTTTTTTCATCAGTCAAATTGCAGAAATTTGATCAGTTCCTTTGAAGTAACCATTCATTTTATTTTGTTAAGTCTGACATAGTAGCTCAGCCTGGGAGTTCTCTTTCCCATGACAGTGAACGGAGACCCTCCAGGTGGTAGTTCATACACTACAACACCTAAACCCACCAGTCAGCTGCCTACAAAATGTATTGATAGAATATTAACTAGTAAGTCATTTAGAGGAAAGAAAAATGAACAAAATAAAGCTGCATATTTGGGAAATATTTTAACAAAAAGAGTCGGTGTGAAAGGACAGAACGGGGCTGATAACCGTGTTCCTAACTCCTCTTCAAGCAAAAGCCATAGAATGTATCAGTTGCTCAGCCAGCCCTTATCTCAGCCAATAGGAACGCAAGGAAACTAGCCCAAGGCCAAAAGTATGCTAGCCACCTCCTGTCTCTGTGTAACCAGACCCTAGCTGCACCCTACCCTTGCGTCAGTAGCCCCCCGGCCATCACTCAACCAACCGGAATCGGCCAAATCAGTGGTCCGAGTAAGCCCCCACCCCCTAACCCAAGCCCTATAAATTCTTTGTTCTCCCAAGACTCCGGGCTCTCTTGCTTCCTGTCACTCCACTGTGTCAGTGAGGGAGGCAGAGGGACCAAACTAGCTAGTTTGAATAAATGACTCTTTGCTTTTGCATCGGACTCGGCTCCCTGGTGGTCTGTCTTTGGGGATTTTGAAATCTGGGCATAACATTTGGGGGCCCGCCCGGGATTCCCAAGACCCACTAGGGACCCCACTCCGGAGGGTCTGCTAACCGCGGTAAGTGTCTGTGTGTTGTCTGTTCTGTTCTGTGCGAGCTCGCTTCTGTAATCTGTGCCTGATAAGATCTAAGTGGACGCACTCGCGGATCTCAGGCAGGAGGAGTCAGGGGACGCCTTGGCCCTCCGTCTGGAGGGGTGTAAAAACCCCTCACGAGGGGAGTGGACTCCCCTCAAACCTCTGAACCTCTGGGACGTGGCGGGTCGCTCCCGCTGATTGGCAAACGGCCATCGTCCAGTTTTCTTCCGTGGGGGCGGAAGGCTGTTCTTAAGTGTCTTTGTCTGTCTGGTGTCTGTGTTCTTTTGTCTAATTTTGTGGACTCACTGGACGGACGTTATGGGACAGACTCAAACTACTCCTTTAAGCATTATGGTCATTTTAAAGTCAAGGGCTGGGCCAAACCTGCTTGCCAGCCTCAGGTGTGGTTTCCCAGAACTGCTGGGAACTTGGGACCTTGAAGCTTACTGAATTCAAATGATAAAAAACTTATGTCTTGCATTTTTGAAGTTTATTCTTAAAAATGTTACTGCTTAAGAAATGCTGAATATTTGACTTGCCAGCTAAAAGTTTAAGGTTCAAACTGAATTGGGAAAAATTGTATGTTGTGGTAGCTAAATGCCTTTGCTGAATGAATATCTGGTGAAAGAGTATAAATGTGGAGGAGGGAGCCTGCCCTCTCCGCTCCTTTGTGTGGCTTCACAACTTTGGTCAGGCGGGCATCTGAGTGAGGATCTGTGAAAACAGGTCACCCCCTCCCTTGTCTGTCTCTCGTCACCGATCATCATGAGGTCGGGACAAAGTAAACCTGCTGTTCTTAATTACATGTTAAAAAAATTTTTAAAGGGGTACAATAGAGATTGTGGAATTGGAATGAATGCTGAAACATTGAGGAAGCATGAGTGGACAGCTGTTTGTTTGTGTGGGACTAGCCAATTTGCTACCGAGACGGGGGACTGGATGCAGTCTTAACTCCTCCGGTAGGTTCTCACCAAAACGTTGGTCGAAAATTCTGTTCTGAAACATGGGTGCCAGGAGTGCCCCCACACCCATCTGGGGAGTTGGGCATTGTTTTGTTTATCTGCTCAGCTCCAGAGAGAGTGTGAATACAAGTGTTTTGTCTATTTTGGCTGCTCATTACTAGTCTGTGTAAAGTGAAAGTTACTTTGATTTATTTTGCATTTCTGTTAATTCATCTGGCTGAAGGTTTAGGCTGGACCCCGAAATAGTCTGCAAAATCTCTTAGCAGCTGCGAGAATCATTTTTGTTCTCAGAGTCTTTTGCTCACTATTAAAGGGGAATCCGCCCACTTAGTTAATATAAATTTCTATCAGTTGCTCTCTCCTGGGTTGTAAATTCGCTGTATTAAATTGAAATTTTGAAGTTCTAGGATAGAGTTAAAAGCTGGCTAAATTCCAAAATTGCTTGTAAGAAAAGCAAGAGAGAAGTCTTTTCAAGTTAACTGTTTGCTTAGCAAATTAACAAAGTAGCAAATTTCAAAGAACTTGTTATTCATGGTTTTCTTTTCTCTTTAGTGGACAGCTCCGCAGGTCTCGGAAAGATTTACTGCCTGTGACTGTATTTTGTTTAACTTGCTGTTTTCAATTGGTCTTTCCCTTCCTCCCTCATCCTGATTCTGAAAGCATCTGTAACTGAATGTTACAGATGCACCCGTTATATTTCCAGGCCGACTCTGTGAGGAAAAGCAATCGGGCCTGGGCTGAGAGAAAGGGGGTGGGGGTGTTGGCAGTTAAGTTACTGGCTGCAGACCTAACAGGTCTTATCAATGAACTTCAAGGTCACAAGAAGTAACTGTAAACAATGTAGTCTTTCTCTGCCCTAGGTTATTCTTTTTAACCCTTCCAATGCTAAATTAGACCAATACCTGTTCTTAGTTTGATCACAAAAGGTCTAGATATATCTTAAGAGTAAAAATACATTTAAAATGTGTTAAAACCCGCAGCTGCCCTGGTGATTTAGAACTGTTTGCCAGGCAGACTCAGCCCCTGAGAGCCAGGTCAAAGAAGGCGGGGCTGAGTGCCTGAGCTGCCCGCAAGGCCCAGAAGCCCCTGGTGGAGAAGAAGCGGCGCGTGCGTGGATCAACGAGAGCCTACAGGAGCTGCAGCAGCTGCTGGCGGACACCGAGGTGCAGGCTAAGCTGGAGAATGCCAAGGTGCTGGAGCTGACGGTGCCGAGCGTGCTGCGGGGCAGGGTTCGTGGGCACGAGCAGCTGCAGGCAGAAGCCAGCAAGCGCTTCGCTGCAGGCTACATCCAGTGAACCCCCTGCTTGAGTCCATACCACTGTGAAAGGGCAGTGGCTTCCGAGATTTGCTGGAGGACGCTCTGGCCGGGCCCCGGGAGACCCTAGGTGGAGCAGCTGGCTCACAGGAGGGGCTGATATCCCCTTCAAGTGAACTCCCTTGAAAAAGGCCTGGTTGCTGCTCTGCCACAAAGGGAACTGGTAGAAAGGCAAGAAAGCAGGGCCCTAAGAGTTAACAAAAGAGCACTCTCCCTGGACCCAGGAGCCATCAGGACTTTAAAATTCTCCAAGAGAGAAGGAGTCTGACTCAGAGACTGGCCGAAACCTTGTTGGGATAGGAAAACCAGAGGCTGCATATTGAACTTATAGATTGCAGTTTGCTGGGCAAAGGTCCAAGCCCAGTTATATAGGGGTTAAACTACCTGTGTACAATAAAACAACTTTCTCCTGTGCCAGAATATATTTTAAGAAAATTGAATGCATGATAGACCAGTAAGCTGGGAGCAAATGCTTTGCATTTGCCTCCCTAAACAAAGGTTAAATCGTTTATGTCAATCTGATTATGTCATTTGTTGTCCACACCCAAGGACAAATGAAGTTAGAAAATAAGCCTTATTTTGATTAATTCTTTTATTCAGGAGGAGCCAACCCGGTCCCTCCCTGCAACATGAATGATAAAATGTATATTAAGGAATTTTAAAATTGCTCAAACCTCGCTGCCTTGGGTCCAGTTCTGCGTGTGTAAGAAGGAACAGAGTAAAGTTTAATAGCAGAAGTAAAGAGGCAGGCAGGGCAGAAGCAGGCCAGAAGAAGCTGGCAAGGCCATCCAAACCACCCAGCCGCTATTGGCCAGAGCCGCCTGAAGCAGACCTCCTCGGACTGGCAACAGCTGACTCCGACTAGGACAGACTGGGCTTTTTCCAACTGGGCCCCCATGAGCCGATGGTCAAAATGAAGAACGGGGGCCAGACTGTGAACTTTATGATTGATATAGCGGTAGTTACTCAGAAGGTAGCTCCCCTCTCAGGACAGGAAGTCACCATGATTGGAGCTACCGGGACCACAGCTGCAGACTGTTCTGCCGCCCCCACCGATGTCAGTTAGGCGGCCATCAGGTGGTTCATGAATTCCTATATTTACCAGTTGACCTGGTCCCTCTAATGGAAGCAGAAACCACTTTTGCCCCAGATGGCTCAGCACAGCCTTGCCTAGGTGAAGAGACCTCTCCAATGATCCTGTCCTTAGCAGTGCCGAGAGAGGAAGAATGGAGACTTTATACCCCCCAGCCAAAGGCCTCCACATCTGTTCTTGTCAGGCCACCATCAGGGGACTTGGGCAGTGTTCCTGTTATCTGCCAAAATTCCCAAGACTGTAAAAGTACTTGTTCACTGAAAAGGTATAAATGTAAATGTTTATTTAATGTTTATATGTCTACTTAGGTATAAATATTTATAAATAAATAGAACCCCCGGTTAGTTTCCTGGTGT